GAAGGGAGAGGAGGGAGAGAAGGGAGAGGAGGGAGGGAGAGGAAGGAGTTAAGCAGAGCCTGAGAGCAGGGGCTGCATTCAGAGCCATGTGTGTGAGAGAATCACAATCCCAGCCTGGTTTGGGTTGGAAAGGACCTTAAAAAGCTCCTCCAGTTCCAGGGGCAGGGACACCTCCCACACCTCCCACCAGCCCAGGGGGCTCCAAACCCTGTCCAACCAACTCTGCCCCCCTTACAGCCTCCCACATTCCCTCTGGAATTCCCAATCCCCCAGCCTGGCACGGGGCTGGATCCACACGGGGACACTTCACTCCTTCACTTCTTCCCTTCTGAAAAGCTGGAACAGCCTCTCCCAGCCCTGCAGATGCAGGGAATGTTTCCCAAAAGCAGGATTTGGAGCTACTCATTGGCTGCTCTGCTCTTGGCCAGGAGAGCCTTGGGCTGATCCAGCTTTTTTTCCTGGCCATGGGAAGCCCTGGAGTTGCTCCGACCAACTTTTTTTCAGCTGCTGGCAGCAAACCCTGCAGCCTCTCACCCAACCTGAGCCCTTCTCCTCCCCTCTGAACCACAGTCCCACTTTTTTTTGAGGAATTAATTTATTCCTTTTGGATTCTCCCAAGTACCATTTTTAGTTTAACCTCAAGTTCCAAGCTCTGCAGAGGGCTCGGTCTCAAGCTGTGCCAGGGGAGGTTTAGGTTGGATATCGGGAAGAATTTCTTTGCAGAGAGGGTGATCAGCCATTGGAATGGGCTGCCCAGGGAAGTGGTGGATTCTCCATCCCTGGAGGTTTTTAAGGTGAGACTGGATGTGGCATCAGTGCCATGGGTTGGGGTTGGATCAAGGGTTGGATTGATGATCTCAGAGGTCCCTTCCAACCCAGCTGATTCCGTGATTCTGTGATTCTCCAGAATCCTTTGGCATTCCCAAAAAAGCAGCCAGAGGTTTTTAATTTTCCCCCATCCAAGGCAGCTCCTCCCCAAGCTGGGAGCAGCTGGGATGTCTGAGGGGATTAGAGCTGATGTCACCCCCCCCTCCTCCTCCTTCCCCCCTCCCAGGCACACGTGGCCATGGAAAAGAGCCACAGGGAAAGATTCCTTGGCTCCAGCCCCTGGGAGGAGTCACGAGATGGTTTGGAATGGGTTGGAATGGGTTGGAAGGGATCCCAAAAAAATCCTCCTGGGATCTGTTCCCACGTCGTTGGTCAGGTTAGAAAGGGGTGGTTTTTTGTGTTTTTTTTGGGTTTTTTTAGCATCCACATTTATCTCAAGGTTTAATAAGAAAGGACTCAGAGGTGGTTTTGCCATGGATTAGGATCCAGGATACCTGGGATTGGAGAATAATAGAATGGGTGGGGTTGGAAGGGACTTTAAAGATCATCCTTTAAAAGATTCCTTTAAGGGATTCTTTTAAGGGATTCTTTTAAGAGATTCCTTTAAGAGATTCCCTTAAGAGATTCTTTTAAGAGACTCCTTTACTGGATTCTTTTAAGGAATTCTTTTAAGAGATTCCTTTAAGGGATTCTTTTAAGAGATTCCTTTAAGGGATTCCTTCAAGGGATTCTTTTCAGGAATTCTTTTACGGGATTCCTTTAAGAGATTCCTTTAAGGGATTCTTTGCAGGGATTCTTTTAAGGAATGCTTTTAAGGGATTCCTTTAAGAGATTCCTTTAAGGAATTCTTTTAAGGGATTCCTTTAAGAAACCCTTTTAGGCTCCCCCAGCCCTTTGGTGCCCCAAAAAGGTCCCACAAACCCTTCCCGAGCTCCGCCCGCTCCAGCCTCGATCCCAATCCCGATCCCATGGGACACTCACCGAAGTTGGAATCCTCTCCCAGCTCTTTCCCATAGCGGATCATGCTCTCCCCCAGCAGCCCCTCGGACTGGGGGTATCCCGGATTCTTCACCTGCCCCCGGATCTTGGACATGGTGTTGAGCATGGTCAGCTTGGCCCTGGAAGCTGCCACACGAACAAACAGCCACAGTTGGCTGGGCTGGAACATTCCAGAACATCCTGGAACATCCCGGCCTCAAAAAACCCCCCACACTGCTCCCAGTGGGAAGGAGGGCTGGGATTGCACCCCCAGCATTCCCAGGACACACTCAGAGCTCCCTTAAGCCAAGCTGGATGCAAGCAATGGATGGATTCCTTCCTCTCTCCTGTCTCCCTTCTCTTTCCCTTCTCCTTCCTTCCCTTCCCTT